GAGCGAATGAAGTGTCGCTTCAGACTGAATGAGTGTCTATAGACGGCGTAACAGATGTCACACTTGTAGAGCTTCTTGCCGTGTTTGCCTTTGAAGATGTGGTGCTCCATCATCTGGAACTGGTATTCACCCGCCTTTGCCGCCGCCTTAACGCTGGCGTCCGTACAGACGGTGTTGTCGAGCGCCGACACACCGGCCGCTATCGCGACATCTCTACCGCACTCTTCAGCGGCATTATCATCGACGGTGTCGTTGTTTGTGCCGCTCATGTCGTAGTCGTCGCATTCGGTGCTCTCCGCCTCCTCCTCGGCCTCGTCCTCATCGACGGCCTGCCGGTGCAGAAGCGATGGCGAGTCCAACGCCTGTTGCATCTCCTCTTCAGTCAACTGTTCGCCGTCTTCGTCGTCGCCCTTATTGACGATCGCCAACAGTTGCGCCAAATCTTCGTTCTCTTCAGTCATTCCTCTCGAGTCTCACGTTTACCACAAGACATATACGGCCGACATATTCATGGAAGTGGTATGGATTGAAAGGCACGGGTAATGGTGTGTAAGGCCTGCGAACACGAGAGGACACGACCCGTGAAAACAATGGTTTCAATGGTTTGACTACTTTTTGATCGCTATATTCATCACTCGTATTATATTATGAAACACAAAATGATAGCATAGATAGCAATGAGAATATAGTGTTGTTTTCGATACACATTAACTGTATTTCCAAATATTGCGTTCAAAACTACAACACATTTTGCACTCCAATTAAAAGTTGTATTGAAAACACTTAATTAAACACAACTATAATAAACAGTAGTATTGAGTATAGAGTGGAAAGAAATTGGAAACAAAATATTATAATTAAAAATATGTCTTAAGACCTAACCTTATATTCTAAACATTAAGCATTACTCCACTCAACACATACACAGAGCACTCACTCTATGCGAGAGTCGCAGTGATAGGAGAGTTGTCTTACAAACTCAATATTACACTAACTTTTAGAGCAAATACTAAACTGAACTCAAAGTTTGCGAGAGAGAGAGGGAGAGAGAGAAGGGAGAGAGCGATTAGAGGTGGCAGAGAGAGAGCGAGGGAGAGAGAGAGAGAGACTCGACTGTAAAGTATTTTTCTCCTTTAAATTTGCGTCCATTTTCTAAACGCTTTGCTTTAAATAAAAATAGTTTTCTCTCTAAACTTCTGACTCGTATTGAGTACTGGTTTTGGAGAGGCATTGCATTCAGCGATTAGCAGTTAGAGAGAGATCGAGAGAGACATACATACGCGTAGAGATTGATAGAGAGACTGCAAAGTTATACATGGAGTGAGAGAAACCAGTAATCAGTTATATATTACACAAACACATACTCTCTGGCAGTTTGTGTGCTATTAAAGTCTATTATAAAACCTATGCATAAGTCGTGTCCCACAAAAAAATTATGATTTCATATATCTATCTAATGCTGTAAAGTTAGCCGAGATTGCAATGAATACAACGATAACACGTTTGTACGGATTGTGGGCTATATTTCTGACTTCAATGGCATTTATAAAGTCTATGAGAAGAGTATCACAATTTTGTATGTGTTTAGCAGTGCTATGAAGTGATAGTGATTGGAGTCCCGTTCCCCTCCATACCAACCTATACTGTATAACACACACCACTTCTCTCCATATACTCTCTCTTGAGGTCTCTCGCTATCTCTCTCTGCTTTTGATGTAATGTGTATTCAATGCATGAAATAAATACATTATAGTTATGGCACAGAGTATGGCATCAAATGTACACTCAATTCATGTATACATTTAGGTATTGTTTCACATATGATATGATATACACAGGCATTAGATTCTTATCACTCGTATAACACTAATACTTATCATAATAATTATTATTCACTTCATTTAAGCACAACTCATAAAACTATATACGTTTAGAAACCTATGGTATACCTACCAGGGTACTATCACATTCATGGCATTCATTTCTGTTAGTACACTATGTGTTCATATGGTGCACACAATTGCGTGCATAGTATGAGTGAATAGCATACAAACCATTGATAGTATAGTTATGTATTGGAAATAGTTATGGAAATATGAAATAATAGTCAAACAAGTCATTAGAGAAATGGTTATGAAATACATACAGATTTCATATACTTATCGCTGATTCAACAGTTTGTATGCGTTTTGGTGTTGAGATTGACATCGGATTTGTTGTCCACACTATCGGGCGTTCAGTCACTAATAGCGGCCACTATTGTGCCATAACTGCACACAAATGCAACCAATGATTAGTGATTGTGATTCACAAACACTGTATTCAAGAGACCAAACAGTCTTTGATCACAATTACAGTTAGAATACAGTTCTGTCTAATGATGTTCACCACTAAATGCTGGGATCCATACATACATGCAGTGCCGCACTGGGCATGGGTTGGGTGCCAATCACTGTATGCTCAGCGTTCACACCAACTCTCGTATACTATTTCAAACCATTCACAAGTCATTTACATTCAATAAATTTAATTAATTAAATTAAATACTTTACAAATGCATATATAAATCACAGTATTTGTTGAAATAATGAGCATAAAGGGGCTTAAAAAGTGTGTTTAATGGGTAACGTAATGCTGTGAAGTGGAGACTTATTGGTAGAGAAATAATTTAAAGCCAGAGATGTATTGCAGTGAATGTGTTGTGCAGTGAATGTCTAAAACAAGTTTTGTTCACTCAATGAGTGCCACTATTGAGAGCTGTATTACAGTTCACTGCTGAATATGTCGTCACATATATAGTTAGTGTATTTCAAAATGCATTGAAAAACTACGGTATACCAGAGAGAGATAGAGAGAGAATATGTTGAGAGAGAATAGGAGAGAGAGAATTAGAGAGAGACTCCGAAACACACAACTATTAACCCAATAGTGAGGGTGAATGGACTTGACTTTTATATATGAGTGCAGTGTTGTATTCCGAGTTCATATACTGTTGAGTCGAAAAAGTTTTGTGTTTTGACCTAACATTACATTATATTATATGCACTCTTCTCTTATGACAAACTCATGCACTCATTTCCAACACATACTATAGTGTACTCCAGTCTATAGTTAACCACATATACACCTTGGGCTCTCTCTCTCTCTCTCTCTCTCTCTCTCGAAATGCGAGTGAAATGTATTACTCTTTTATGGGGAAAATTCTTGAAATTTTTGTTAATCTAATAAATATGATAAAAAAGTTTAGAACTAATTAAATGCAATGCATTTGTGGTAAACACATACGAATAGCATTGCATTGAGTATTGCGAAACCCTATTACGAAACTGGAGTTTGTGTTTTTACATTGACTTTAATAATTCATATGATATATGCATTTGACGACGACTTGTATTGCAAATCAGTCTCTATTTTGAGTTAAAATTAGTTTTTATGCCGAACTTTAGCCCCAAAACTGTGATATCAATGCAATGGTGTACTCAACCAATCATTGTGTGTTTGCTAACCATTTTTTATATACTGCCATAGAGTAGAGTATAAAAATTTTTTTCATATAGAGATTCACAGTCTGATTGTCACACAAAATGTAATTGTCTATAAGAAAGCCTACTCCATGTCGTAGCTGTACTCTACTCTACCCTACCATACCATACCATTCCCTATCCATACCCCACACTCTATGTAATGTAGTTTCCAATTGACCTTCTCTTTAACCGATAGCCATGTGGCGAAACCTCCTTTCAGGGGCTCCCAGTGTTATCTCGATAAGGGACGGGTAGATGATTATGGAGTAGAGTAGTGGTGGAGCTCTCTGGCTGTGCTCATACATACACAGAGGACAGGCATTCTTATAGACAGAGTTTCACATTCACACCCACTTAGCCGTACGAATGGAGCGAATAAACGATAAAAATGTACACTTTTTGCGATTAAATCGGTTGGAAAACAGATTTCTCTTTCTCTCCATTTTCTGAGCGAATCATTCACTCTCTCATCAAAAATAACTCTTTTTATTGAACACTCAATTTCATTCATTTGATCGCAAGTGTATTGAAAAACAACTCCTTATTTAGATATGAAATGCATAAAAAACACATTCAAACAGAATATTTTCCATGAAATTATACGTAAAATCTTAATATTTATTTTTCTCTAAAGGTTTTTTATCTGCATTTTAGACCCATTAGTGTCTGAACATCTACACCGGATAGTATAGACATAGACTCACTTATAGTGTATATATGACCAGAGGGTCTCTCTCTCCCTCTCTCCCTCCCTCTCTCTCTCGCTCGCAATAATTTCCCATTAAATACATGCTTACGAGAGGTGTAATCCCTGGACAACCTCTCCTAATAACAAAAAAGCAAAAGTTTTTGATAAAGATTTGTCTAAAGAATTCCATCGCATATTCCGATCGCAAAAACTCATGACAACCATTGAATGAGTGAATGTTATACCGATAATACTGTAGTGAACACTACTCCGGGTGCTCTCCCATGGCTTTGGATAAACATTGAGGCAAACCTATGCCTACACAACAGTAACACCCATAAGAATAACATTGAACATAGAATACTGTATAACAACATCGAAATGCATTGGAAAACAAAAACATTTTAATTTTGCTATAAATTAAAGACAAATATTAATAATAAATTTATATAATTATTGTACATTAAGTAGTCGTCAAACAAAAAAGTTTTGACGCATTTTTGCAGACAAATACTGTTTTGATATAACATTTGAATTGTGAATAACAAATGATGTGAATTATATAAAAGGGAATAAAATTTATCCAAAATATAAAATAAGTGTCAAAAATATATGGTAGAAAGCAAGGTGTAAATGAAATAATATACTCTGAAAATGATGATATGGAATGATGAGAAATATTTATAAACTCATATTTGCATTGAATTTCAAATTCAAATTCAATTGTGAACACAATTATTGTAAAGAGTATAAAATAAAAAAGATTTTACAAAATAATGAGAATTTGTGTGCAATTTGAGTGAAACAACAGAAAACATAAATTACTTATCAATCATTTGCATAGCTATTGACTCGCGAGAAATGTGTTGAGAATTCATAACTTATTAAAGCATTTTCGGTACAAAATAACGAGAGTTTTATAAAAACAATCAATAATTAAAAAATGTGTATTTCCTGGTAAGGCCTACAAGAAAATCACTGCGTTTTGCAGCTGTCCTTAGATTTCTTTTTCTTCTCCATCGAACTGAGCCGTCGCTGTCCCTGGACGGGCAGGTATGGCGGCACGGGATTCGCTGCGGGCGACGACAGCCGGTGCCTACTCTTTGGCTCATCTATTGGGTAGTAATTGTCTTCTATTATGGTCTCTATATTGTCGTCACTTTTGGCCGCCAGTCGTTGCGTAGTCGACTGCGGGCTGTCCGACGGCGAGGGCGTTGGCGTCACTTTGTATACCTGTGCGAAGTGTATGCCCGGCTCTTCCATGTGATTGTCATCCACGTTGGACTCAATGTCCAGCCCATGGGAACCGTTATATCGCGTGTTGGGCGACGAAGAGTTCACTAACGGATTCGATGGGACGGCCGGAACGGTCGTTGAGTTTCGTTTGTACGTCGGGTCCAAAAATGTAGCGATATTTGGATGATAGGTGTGATGAGTGGCAATCTCTTCGTATGTTATGCTATCGTTATCTGAGTAGTAGTTACTATTGTGTGTATGCCTTCCCTGAGCCATCGCACCATTAGTCTCAGGTTCGCCGTAAGAGCCGCCACTACTCGACTGTCTATGCATTAGACTATTATCATCACTAAAATGTCTGTCCATCGAGTGCTGGTCCCTCTCTTCAAGTCGTTTTTGGAGTGCCTTTTGTTTGGCTTTTTCTTTGGCTCTTCGGAGGCGATCCTTCTCTTGTTTGTGGAGCAGTCGTGCGATTTCGTAGTCCTGGGCCTCGATTTGCGCCAACTTTTCTTTATTGACGGCACTCTTGCGCTTCAACTCCTGTTGCTGTAGGAGTCGCGCGATCTCCGCGTCCTGTTCCTCGAGAAATACGCGTAACTCTTCGGGCGAGAGATGGTCCGGCGGTTGCAGACAGAACTCAGACAAATCTAACTCATCCTCGGATACTGAGCCGCCATTACTGGCTTCCCTTAAATGCATGCCGTCGACACTCTGGGCGACGGCGCCCACCAATTCTACATCGCTTTCAACGGCGGCTCCCGTATCGGAACCGGTACTCAACTGAGCGCTCAATCGCTCGACCTGTTGTTTCTCGCGCTCCAGTCGTTTGCGAATGACTCGCGCCCTCTCCTTCTGGGCCAACCGTTTGGCCAGTTTCTCGTCCTCCTCCTCAGCGCGTCGGCGGCTGTGGTCCTGTTCGGCGAGCCGTTCGTGCATTTCTCGCGCCACCCGCTCGTCCGCCTCCAACTGCTGCTCCAGTATTCTCTCGTAACTCAACCGCACGGCCGACGCCTCTTCCTCTTCAGAACGCTGCAACCCTTTGGCGATCGGCAGGTCTTCCCTAACCGTACGGCTCTTATGGCGGTTCCCCTCATAGTGTGAACTAACTGTAAGGTTAGGCATCAAAGTTGAGATTAAAATGCAAAAAGTAATAAACTAATTATCACTCAACACTCACTTTCTTGATTCTGCAACTGATAGGCCAACACACCGTCCTCTCGTACTAACCATTCTTTGCATACTTTATGAAACGAAACAATAAAAGCAAAAATTAATTTTCAAAATCTCATATCCATATCGCAATTCAATTAAGTTATTTGTTTACACAATCGCTAATCACATGCTATTATCTCTCAATTGTGTCTCGAATTCTAAGGCCATTCATATACTGTTAGCGCAGGTATTGCTAACAAATCACTTATGATTTAGTTTTCATTTTAGGTTAAGAGTTGCATTCAATGTCTGCATAGTCTCACCACTCGTACCATTAAAACCATTAAAAAGTGAGGTTCGAGTGGAACTGTCAGTCCGTTAGAATAAATGATATTTTATATTCAATCATATCATATGAGATAAAACTATTATATTTTCAAAAGAGATATAATTATTTTGTTTTTCAAGTCTTTGTATAACAATTCGTTGCATTAATATAACATTATTAAAGGAATTTCACAAAAGGGTTTCATATCCGGTCAGACAATTAGATTATAACAAAAGTCAAGTTTTAAACCTGATGTACGCACAGGTATTCGAGTTAGATAAGGGGCTTAACATATCACATATTTTTCAAGCATTTTATATAATAAATTCCCACAAAATAATAAGGATTAAAGACAAAGTTTTTAGTTTTTGACATAAATTCTTGTAAATAACTATTATTTCGTGATTTAAAGTCGATTTTTATTCATATAATTTAAATATAAACAACAAAAATATTATAAAGATTTAAATTTTAAAGTATATAAAACTACTCATAAATAATAATCAAATAAAAATTCCAAACTCCGGGTCAATTTGGGTGACACCCCCTTGAAAATAGTCTCTCTCTCTCTCTCTCTCTCTGCCCTATGTTTTTACATCAATTGTATCTCTAATGTATGAAAAAGATGTACAAAATTATAGGTTTAGATGAATTGATAAAATATTTTAATTGTATCTGACGTCACATATAAATTGTAGAAAACATTTTAATTATAATAAATTAAGTTTTAATTGCAGACAATATACACGAAATCAATGGCAGACTACAGACAACAGTAGCGAAACAAAAAGCAATATTTACAAACATTTATTATATTTTGCATACAACAAAAAAAGGTGATTCAAAAAATTCAAACAAATATTTCAATAGAGATTTAAAACGAGTGAATGCTTTGCTTATGAATCATACATTTTATTGTGAAAAACATCAAGAAAAAGGAAATGATTTTCATTGAAACTCATCTCAAAGTGTGAAGTTTTGCAATGTTTTCCCTAAAACCACTTAAAACACTCGTTTGAGAAACATTTTCGATGATTTCACGACAAAATATTTGATGGCTTACTGTTAATTCATATGTAATTTGAGAGAAAAAGCAAAGAATTAGAGAAAGAGATGAATAAGTAATAGAAAACTATGGAAATGAGCTATAAATGAGATATTCGTGAAACATATTTCTGAAACCAAAGAGATATTAATGCTATGAAAGTGTGGGAAGAATTATATTTGGTCTCAAATATTCAACACATTTATATTAATATTCACTTCAATTACTCTTTCATTAAAAACTTTTTGTTATTTCTATACATTTCTATTAGCACTTCGTATATGAAAATATAAATTTATTTTTCATTATAACCCAAGGATTTAAAGCAATTTTCTCGTTCATAGTATACTCTCGTTATAATACACTCCAACATTTGAATATAACATAAAATGCAAAAATCAATACCGTAATTATAATTTATATAATTTATATGATTTAGTTGACAATAAGTGGTTTTTAAAGGTCACAAAACTGAGACAATTTTATCGTTAAACCTAATGATAGCCGTGTTATACATAGTAATCACATAAATATAGTGTACTGTATATAGTGTTCACAAACGAGTAATTAATCGCAAGATTTATTGAATGCTTATCGAAGGGCTGACAAGAAAAACCACATAAAAGTCCGCAAAAAGTATTTCATTAATAAAATTATTTTAAAACTCAAACACAAAACAACAAAAAAAGTTTTTGTGAACCAAATTGAGAGCATTTGAAAACTCAATGCATTATAAAAAATGGATAAAAAGTTTATTTTCTTATTCATTGCATTTGAGGGCAAAACTAATTGATTAACGAAACGAGTGTTAAATCCAATTAAAAAATATTTATATATTTTTATCGCAAAAATTGTTTATAAACTCAAGATTTGCATAAAAATTGTTTTCATAATCACTTCATCGAGACATTGAAACCGCGAATACTTTTGAGACATAAATTGAGATCAAATGCAGTGATAAGACATTTGAGACTAAATAGGCATTTGATTCACACAAACACCATAAGACATATCAATTATCACACATTCATGTCTCGCAATCACTTCATTGATAATTAGTCCACAATTAAGCGCACAATTAGGCCATACCTTTGCCGACCCTTCCCTCGGGTATACCATTACTGGTGGTGTCGTCGCTGTCTGTCATACAACTGATCCTACACTCAGCCATCGGTGGCGGCGGTGATCACCAAACCATTCACACCACACATACAAACACTGATCAGATTTATGAGTAACTGTTGGGACGACTATTTGTCAATCATTTAATAAAATGAGTTATAATTGGATTAAAAAAGTGAAATAATGTGCGGAATGTATGCAAACACTACACAACACTCGCTGTGAATGACTGAACCACTGATTCAATGACTCAATGAATGCTTTAAAAAGACATTTGTTTTTGTTTACTCTTTCGCACCAAACACTGGCTTACCTGACGGTTGCGTCCATATATTGCGTTACTATTTCTGGTGGGGTCTATAAAACACGCACTTATTTTCTATACAATTTGAGTAGTAAAGGGTCCCAATAATGCTTGTTAAATACCTGTCGTTATGGATATCTGTGAACGACTCACTTACATAACTTTGATTTACTACACGTCTAATGGATGGCAGCACGTGCCCCACAAATTTCACTATCCATTCGTCATAAACACATATAACGTATACACGCAATAAACAGATGAGAGCATAACACTAACACAAAGTCTATGAAAAGGGGGCAAATAATAGGTAAAAGGGAGTTAATATTTAGAGTGTATAGCATATATTGAACAGTAAAAACCCAATGCAAGTCATCATAACATCTAACGATTGATTCATTGAATCCTTGAATAGTTGTGAAAGTATTGATTGAATTGAGTGTCAGTTTGTGGCAATCAATCGGTTGTATCACTGAATCCACACAAAACACAGCAAACAATTGTCTCCTAAGAGACATCACCCGACCGGAAGTGCTCGACAACACGACAACAGGACAACAGGGTCGACAATGGTGTGCATATCGTGTTTCATCGCACCGTTACTCCTATTCGTGTGGTACAAATTCATTTACCCCGTACTGCAGCCCCTGGTGAGTCGCATCTGGACCAATTACCAACTGCTACAACAGGGTCGACAATGGTGTGCATATCGTGTTTCATCGCACCGTTACTCCTATTCGTGTGGTACAAATTCATTTACCCCGTACTGCAGCCCCTGGTGAGTCGCATCTGGACCAATTACCAACTGCCGCAGCCCTTCGCCAACCTCACGTGTCCCATACCCCAGAAGACTAAGCCCACCGACACAGACACGGCCTCCGCAGCTGCCAATCCGCACACCAACAGTGGCGGCGATCACTGCACCCGACCCGCGGTCGACGCCTCCGCCCCTCACGAGGAAGACTCCAAGAAGTTTGACTGATAACTGAAGCACCCATTCCTCCACTTCTGAGACCACTACACCACTTATAAGAAGAGTTTTATCAGTTTTTTGTAAACATGTCTTAAGACTTGCATGTATTCAAGAGTTTTTCATTCACTTTAAAAGTTGCTATTAATATATAAAACACAATAAATGATTGTTTTTGTTAATTGAATTGTTTTATTAAAATATATGTAAAAAACTGGTTTTATGTCGCTTTTCGATGTCTTATATCTTATGCCCAAAACAAAGTCTTAAGAGGAATATAGTCTCGAAGTGATAGATAAGGCTATAATTTGTGATACAAATGAATGGTTAGACACTAAAAGACAGTAAGGGGCCACGAAATGTGGCGAAAATACGGCAATAATCCTCGTAAATAATTCAAACTCTTTTAAAGTCTTGTATAAACATTGAAAGCCTACAAATTATTAGTTATATTATGGTATAAATTATAATCAAATTATATTTTGCGATAGAATTCATTATAATTAGACAACCGATTATTATACTGTAGTTAAAAAACACTTCATTTTTAGTGAGAATTTGTTGTCTTAAGACTTGAACACTAATACAGGAATAGAAGGGAAAGTGAGAAAAATTATCAGAAAAAAGGTTAACAACAAAAGTATAAACAAATAGTTTTGGATCAATTGCGTGGCGACTATCCATCTACTGGTGGTCGTGTGGAGTGGAGTCTCATCGGATGGCTATGAGTCCCGACTCCATTAGTTTGTAAATCTTAGATTGGATTTCCGGATTCTTTAGGTGTCTGTGCGGGTGATAAACCAAGGGTTAGTCAATAGCACACAAAAAACTAATGATTATGAATGACATACTCCTGAACAGCTTTAGGATCGGTTTGCATTTGTTCCAGAATGAGACGCATAGCCGGGTCGGACAGGATCTGTTGCACCTCTGGGTCAGCCATCGCTCGTTTGCGCACTTCGTCCGGATTGGAACTGGAGCTCAGAATACACTTCTTGAAGCCTTCGATCGCTTCCTGTCATTGGATTCAAATGAAATGAACTTAAAAAAGTAGTACAAAAACATTGTCGTGAATGCAATACCTGATTATTTTTGTCAATTTCGAGAGCCTTTTCGTAAGCCGCCTGTGCTTTCGAGAACTCCTTCATCGCAATCAATGCCAACCCTCTCCTCGTATAGCCTTTCACTGCAGACATAAACCAATTTGAATAAAATGAGAGCAAAAACTAATGAAATGACGAGAAAATGTTACCGAAATTGGGATCTAATTGAATACATTTGTCGCAATCCCTGAGCGCCAATTGAAATTCAGCCAACTTTTGATAACAGGCCGCGCGGTTCGAGAAGAGCTTCGCGTCGTCCGGATTGCGTAAAATGGCTTCGGAGTAGTGTTTAATGGCATTCGGGTAATCACCTTAAGATTAACGCAGAGAAACGAGATTCAGATAAGCGATGAAAGCACACAAACACTCAATCCATTCATACCTTTACTAAACAAATCGTTGCCTAAAGTCTTCTCTTCGAGAGCTTTCTCTGGGTTTATGTATTTCAGGCGTTCCTTCTCTTTCAACGTCTTCTCAATCTGTGGAAACCATTTGTGGCACAGAATTAGTGATCAAAATCTTAAGGAAAACCCGATTACCGGCGATAAGAACACAAGACATACTTCAGTCAGTTTTGTGAGTGTTTCGGGGGTTCGGTGTTCTGTCAGTGACTTCTGGAAATAGGTCTTCGCGTTATCCAAGTCCTCCATCTTATAGTAAGCGTTCGCCATTCGGGAGTAGGCTCTGGAGGACAGGGATTACACATTCAGTTCGCAAATATCAATAAAAACAAAATAAACAGCAATTAAACAAAAAAAACTTCAGATATCGTAAGACGTGGACAGACACGAGACACACGACTGACAGGTAAACACAAAAGTGGCAAAAATCAGATGAAATACTTGGCAATAATGGTGTACTCCTGCCGGTTCTCGCGGCCGACTTCGATGGCTTTCTCGCACTGTTTGACGCATTCCTCGAAGTCTTTGAGCTCGAAATGGACGGCCGCGCGGTTCAGGAGATAAGTCATGTCATTTGGGTCGAGACCGATGGCGCGGTCGTACTCTGCGAGCGCTTCCTTGAACTCCTTCTTCTTGTAGAACTCATTGCCACGAGTTTTGGCGTTCACTGCCTTCAAGTGATGGTCAATATGGCAGATATGGACCAAATGGGAGAGACAATAGACACAGACATTAGACACGAGGATGTGATGCAATCGGACAACCGATTCATTGGTGATGTCAACGCCTCAATGGCCGGACATGCGGTGTCTGTGCCGACACTTACCTCTGTTTTGTTGTCATCGCTGACACTCATTGCGATCACTGGTTATCGAGTCTGAAGATTGGGATCAATTGGCGGACAACGAGATGGTTGTGTGGATTGAGTGGTGTTTGTATTGACTGCGAAAACGAGTCAATTGTTTGTGTTTTGTGTAATGAATGGACTGTTTGTGGAAAAGCAATGCTTTTTGTATTGAATATAGCGTTAAAAGTGAATGCATTTCAAAACACACAGAAATTTCGAGACTATTATTGACTGTGCATTGACTGCGCAAACGCTATGCCATTCACTCCATCAAAATTACCCTCAATTTCATTCCCTTTCCCTTAATTTGTGTTTAAAGGGATTCCCTGTCCCTTCCCGACTTAGGTGCGGGAACCCTTTCCCATTCCTTAAATTGCCTTGAATATTTTGGTATAAAATTACAATTGAAATGAGAATGTAACCTCACGTTAATACATATGAAATGAAGTTTTTACCCACATTTACGTAATAAACAAGGTTTGCAAGCAATGCTATGGAAACCCACATTTACAGTTAATCTGACATTGAATCAATTGTAATATAATAAATTATATGTATTTATCGTCTATGCATGTATATTCTTTGAATTAAATTTCTCAATATTAATTGATAATTTATTAAAATTACTTGAATAGAATGTAAAAATTGGGCCCTAATAATAATTTTAACTTATAATTCATTTAGAGCAAATCTATCTATACCAAATAATAATTGAATTGAGTTGAATTAAATTTATTGTTATTTAGACACGTAATGCATACAACATACGCTGATTTCCAATACAGACGTATTTAATAATTTATTAAATAAATTTAATTCGTACTAAATAATTTATTTAGTAAATAAATTTAATGAATTATTAACATTTTTTTAACGGTCTCATAAAATTTTTGCTGTAAACGGCCACTTTGTTGTAAACACTTAATTAGTGATATCGTAAAACAGCCGTCATAGTGAAATTAATAGTAAACCAAACCCTCACGAGATTTATTTAAGCTTGCTAATTTCAATATGGACCACTTTTGGCCACTTTGTTGTAAGCACTTAATTAGTGATATCGTATAACAGCCGTCATAGTGAAATTAATTGTAAACCAATCCGTAACGAGATTTATTTAAGCTTACTAATTTCAATATGGACTCGACGTTGGGCCAATTTTTTGCACTCTTAATTAGTGATAGAGTAAACCCCCAGTCATAGTGAAATTAATTGTAAACCAATCCGTAACGAGATTTATTTTAGCATACAAATTTCAATAAGGCCTCCACTGAGGGCGACTTTGTTGTAAACTCTTAATTAGTGATATCGTATAACAGCCGTCATAGTGAAATTAATTGTAAACCAAGCTCTCACGAGATTTATTTAAGCTTGCTAATTTCAATATGGACTCCATTTTGGGCCACTTTGTTGTAAGCACTTAATTAGTGATGTCGTATAACAGCCGTCATAGTGAAATTAATTGTAAACCAAACCCTCACGAGATTTATTTAAGCTTGCTAATTTCAATAAGTACTCCACTAACATTAATTTAGCTAATTTACCTAAGGGATGGATATACAGTTCCCCAACAATGGTTTGAAAATGTTCAAAATTTCTTGAAATTGCTAAAATGGTTTGAATGGGCTGAATATTCCACTAAACCACATATTGAATGGCATGGATATCCAGTTCCAAAATAATTGTTTGAAAAGTTTCATGCATTCCCTTTTTAGGCCATATCCTTTCTGCCCTCGCTGATCTTGCACTCTCCTTCCAAAGCATAAGTTATGATCTTTTAAATATATATGTTATGAAAATATTATTAATTCTTTAACCGCTTTGCTGTAAATGTGGGTTTCTATAGCATTGCTTGCAATCCTTGTTTGTTCTCTACATTCAATATTTTTTAGGGTTTGCATCCAATTCATAATTTATTGTTTTGCATATTATATGCTATTATTTATAATATGTTCTGTATTTAAGGTTTTATTTTAGTGTCAAATAA